TGCATTCCGACGGCTGTGACACAGCGTTACATGGTGTACGAAGGACCAGGGGGACGTTCGTTCTCCTGAGAGACACAGCAGACCCCACTGCCGAGATGACAGAGATGCTGGTTTATCTAAGATGTTAGTGCCTGTTACGAAAATCCTCCAACAGGCAGTCATTGAAACCGATAGAAACCAAATGGAAAGGCTAGAACTGAAAAGTGAAATACTCTAAATAAATAACCCTCTGCACGGGCTGGACTTTAAAATGGAGATGACAGAGGAGAGAGTCGGAGACAGCGCCGAGGAGCGGTCTCATCTGAGCGGAGGGGCGGGGGAGAGCGTGTGCAGAGGTCATGGCTGAAGACTCCCCGAGTCGGCGGGAGACACGAGCATCGTGGCTCAGGAAGCTCAGTGAACACACACAGAATAAACTCGGAGGCCTTCACGGCCAGTCGCGCCCTAACCACGCTGCTGAGAACGGAAGACAGTTAAAAACCATGGAAGGAAGCATCTGGAGAGAAGTGCGTGGGCGAGGACAGCAGTGAGTGTGAGCGCGGATTTCCCGTCAAACCCATGCAGGCCAGGGAAGTAGCACCGTGTTTTGTGAGTGCCAGGAAAAAAGAACCGTTGACCAAAAATGCTCTGTCCACTGAGGTTGTCCTTCAAGAGTGAAAATGAAATAAAGCAGGATAAAGCAAGCTCCTGCTGAAGAGAAATCGCTCACTGCCAGCAGCCTGCTCCAAAAGAGTTGCTAGAGGACGTTCTTTAGACAGAAGTGATAAAAATCTGGCTGAATATAATAGGCTACTTTCCCCTCTTGAGCTCTGGAAAATGAGTTAATTGTTGAAAGTGAGTTTTATAACATCGTCTGATGGGATTTCAAATGTACACGCATGTAATGCATGAGATCCCTGTGACCAGAAGGGCAGGACAGGGAGGAGAGGGGCCCCAGCTAAAGGAACCCCGGAAATGGCGGTGTTCTGCAGTCCGCACCCCTGGGGCTTCAAGTTACGGAGGGGCAGGCGTGGCACAGAGAGGCCGGTGCCGTTGAAGGGCGGCCCGGGGAGACAGAGCACTTCCTCCTCCTTCCCTCGTTTGTCGTCAGGATAATCCTGCCACTAAAACCAGACAGACAATGCAAAGAGAGGGGAAACGACAGACCCCAGTTTTTTATGACTATAGGTGCAAAGGATGGGGAAGTTGGTAACAGGGTGTTTGCAAGTGTACCTCATCAGTACATAAAAGAGTTATACCTCATGACCATGTGATGGTTGTCCCAGGGATACCAGGCTGGCTTAGGGTTCAGACGTCATCAGTGTAACCCGTGCGAACAAACAAAGGAAGTGAACTTCACAATTGCACTGGCTGGTGCAGTGAGTGTCTAGCAAGTTTCAACGTCTGTCCAAGTTTGCGCTCCTAGAAAAGTGACGTAAGGGACGCCTTCCGCAACGCGGTAGAGAACGTCCACCTGAAATCTAACGTGCTCGATAGCATCAGACTGGCATCAGGCTTTCTCCCTCCGGTGGTGAACAGCAAGGTGAGCGTGCCTGCGTCCCCACGACTTGTCAGCACGGTGTGAAAAGGCTGGCTGGCACAGACAGGCAGGAAAATAGAACAGAGGGCTTGTAGACCAGGAAACAAAAGTGTGAATGATGTACCATCTGAACAGAAAATCCCGAGGAATCTCCCAGGAAAAATGCTAGGACTGGAAGTAGGTTCGGCGAGGTCCCAAGGTGCGTGATTGTTACACAGTCGGCTGTATTGTGTTTATTCACAGCGCACACACAGAACTAGAATCAGAACGTCAGTGCCACGTGCAGTCACTCCAGAAGTGAAGTGCCAGGCTGTAGAACTAACAGGCGTGTACAGGACTTGCACACTTAAAACAACGATGAAAGGTCCAGAGAGACGGGGAGACGCTCTGCGTTCCCACATCAGAGGACGTGGCAGACGGCAGCGAGCCCGAGATCGGTGCCCACATTCCACAGGACGGACAGGCAGGGCTCTCTGTCAAGTTGGTGTGGAAGGACACGGGAGCTGACAGGGCTGGGAACAGCCGCCACTTTGAGACGGTGCAGGACAGATTCACACAAACGGGAGCTGCTTTCTCTGGCACCTCACCGACATTGCAGCAGAGTGGAGCGGGGTGCGGCGGCGCGCCTGAGGACCTGCTGCACTGTTTACTCCTACACGCGTGACACATGTGCGTGCCTGCTGCGCAGCACAGCTCCCAGGTTCAGCACAGGAAGAGGTGAGCAGCAGTAATGCAGCAGGACCGCAGTGACAGAGCTCTGTACTGAGACTGCGCAAATGCGGTCTCTCTCAGAACACCTCCCCCTCCCTGTGATGGTGCAGATGGCACGTGCCCACGTGACAGGGTGGAGGGAGCGAGGGACGTGACTGTGTGCGCGGCTGCTGCTGGCCACCCCGTGGTGCCGCTGTGGGGAGGAGGGTCACGCACTCCCAGTGACCCGAGGACACAGAGCCGTGCAGATTGACTGCAGATGGCTGGAGTGGCCCACAGCGAGCCGTGGACGAGGGGCAGTGCCATGACGACAGTGCCAAATGCCGGCGAGGGTGGGGGAACGGGCCCTCCCGCTGTGCTGATGGGCCCATACCAGGGTGCAGCCGTTCTAGAACACGGCCACGGCCATTGCGGGAAACCAGACACCATTTACCATGGGACCAGCAGTTGCCCTTGGAGGTGTTTACCCCAGAGAAGTGACAGGAAGTCCACTGACACCCAGTATGTGACTGTTTGCCACAGCTTGATGCGTAAAAGCCCCAGCCAGGCATGACCAAAGCACCCCTCAGTGGGGAGACAGTTCAGACCCCACAGTCTGTCCACATCCGGGAGCAGCGCCCAGTGGTCGCAGGAGCGCACTGTGGGTGTGCGTGACGGTGCGGGTGGGTTCCGGGAGCGGTCTCAGCAGTCCGTACGGTCCGGTCTGCTGCACGACATCCTCGGAGTCACAAAGGCGCGTGGCAGAAGCAGATGGGAGGTTGCAGGGGGCCCGGCAGTGGGTGAAGCAGGGCGAACGTGACTGTGGGGGTGACTTGGAGGCAGTCTTTGTGGGGCGGGAGAACCCTGCGTCGTGGTGGGAGCAGTATTTCGGGAGTCTGCACACACGCACGCACACACGGGGTGGACCGGCGCAGAACCAGCTGCACACACCGTCGAGGTGGAGCTCCTCCTCGATGGAGACCATGACCGAGTCAGACGCAGCGACTGGAGGAAATGGTGAAGAGGACACAGAGTCTTCCCGTACTATCTTTGTAACTTCCTGTGAACCTCTAATGTTTTCAAAATGTACTTTTAAAAAACTTCAGACCACAGCCCAGATGCGGCGCAGGTTCAGACAAACGCTGGGCAGCAAGGTGTCCGTCGGGGGGTTTTCCGGGGCGCCGACGTCAGTAGTGAACGCTCACGAGGGTGATCGGTGACGGAGCTCAGTGTTCAGCCAGTTGGCCACGCCGGGAAAAGAGCGAACCGCTCTCCATGCAGCACCCGTCATCCTCGCTCTTCGGCGAGCCCCCGGCGTCCCAGGGGAGTCCAGGAGGACACGGGAGCGGGTCGTGGCCGAGCATCCCCTCTGGGACGTCCGTCTCCGGTCCCTGGTGTTCAGGCTCCTTGTGTGGCTTTTGTCGTTGTGGGTCTGTGCACTTCTGTGTCCTTTCCAGCCGAAGACGTGTGGCCGTTGTGGTAGGAAAGCCTCACAGTGACCGGTGCCACCCGTGCTGAACTCCAAGCGGCACCATTTTCGAGAGCATTGCTCCAATTCTGAAGCATAGGTCAGCCATCCGGGCTCATTTCTTACAAATTCCTGTTCAGAAAACGTTCACCGACGATTTGAATGTGGTGGTGTTACTTAGTTTAGTAAGCAGTTCCAGCGTGTAAGACACTGGTGTCAGGACTTGGCATTCGTTGTCTCATGGAACCCCTCACATAGTCGACCCCACTGCCCTTCTGTCTCTTCACAGACGCAGGGGCTGGGCTCAGAGAGGCTGGGACTGGAGCCAGGAACCGGTTCCAGCGCCCGAGTTACTAAAGTATGTTCTACTGTTCGTGTGCGCGTGGCACGTGCTTGCTTGATTCACACATACTTCTGGAGAGTGCGGTTCCCTTCCACAGCGTGCAAGCCCTTCAATACGAAATCTCACCCAAAACCCCGCCGCCACATCCAAGAATGTAGGACAGTCCAGGATTCTCCGGTTCTTCGTGTGCAGGACTGTATTTAAACAGTCTGGTCTTTCTTAGAAAACAGACCAAGTTACCTAGGTTATACCCTGTTCTAGGCAGCTAGAAAAACTTTTTGCTAAATTAATCTTTTTTTCTTTTTTTAATATCTTCAGTAAATCAATATGTTTTATTTGGAAACTAATGATAACAGTGAAGCAAAAGTCAAGGTTTGTTCTGGACTAATTTGACTTGATTATCTTATCTCTTGAGTACGTCACAGTGATAATAAATGACAAGTAGCAAGCAGAGGTGTCTGCTCTTTATGAGTGAGAGTAAACCCGGCCTTGGAGTTCTCTGCCGTGTCAGGAGAGCGGTGAGCTCTAAGTGGTGAACTCAGCTCCGCCGGCCCCTAGAGCACCTTGCCAGACACACCACTGAACGCGCTGCCTGCCTCGTGGGCTCAGGTCAGTGCTTCCAGTGTCTGTAAAAGCAGTCAGCAACTTGTACATGTTCCTTAAGTTCTTTATGTAAAGTGTGGCCCTTTTCCCACGTGCTTTTGATCAGAGGTGCCCAACCTTTTGGCATCTCTGGGCCACACTGGAAGAAGAAGAGTCACTGTGGGCCACACATGAAATGCATTGCGATGCGTAATCACAAAACAATCTTGTAGTGTTTTAAGTAAGTTTCCAGCTTTGCACTGCAAAGCTGGAAAACACACACAGCGGTCCCAGGCCCACAGGGTGGACACCCCTGTTTTGACTCTGTGCAGCTTGACATTTGTAATCACGCACGTAACGTAATCTGTGTTGTACTGACCTACTTTCTTCCCTTGCAGGAATACATCAAAGGGATCTGTGAACCCGAGCTGGAGGAGAGGGAGTGCTACCCCAGGGCCATGCACTGCATCTTCGTTGGGGCGCAGGGCCTGTTTCTGAAGAGCCTGGTCCAGGACACCTGCGCCGACCTCTGCGTCCTGGACCCCGGTCTCCTCGGCATCCGAGGGAGCGCGGAGGCCGTGGTCATGGCCCGGAGCCACGTGCAGCAGTTCGTGAAGCTCTTCGAGAGCAGCGAGAGCCTGCCCAGCAGCCAGAACGAGGCCGAGGTGAAGAGGGAGTTCAGGCAGTTCGTGGAGGCCCACGCGGACAGCTACACGATGGACCTGCTGCTGCTGCCCCCCGCCCTGAAGAAGGAGCTGCTGGCCCTCACACATGGCGAGGACGGCCTCTCTGACACAGGAGGTGACACTGGTGCCGGCACAGCCCCGGACTCTGAGCAGGGCGCTGCCCCAGGGCCGCACACCACCCCCGCAAGTGGGACGGCCCTGCAGCAGGAGGCGAGGAAGAAGGCGGGGTCCCCTGTGACCGAGCTTACGAAACAAATGGACAACGTCTTGTCTGGCGCACGCGATGCGCTTTTTGTGCCGATAAATGGCCTGACCCCCGACGCGGAGGCGCATTCCAGAGGCCGGGTGTGTCACAAAAGGCGGTCCTCCGACTCCGAAGAAAGGCGCACGAAGAAACAGTTTTCTCTGGAAAGCGCTCAGGAGGTGGAGCTCCTACAGGACGGCAGGGCCTCCGCTGGGAGTGCGGCCGTCGACCTGACCGACTCGCCTGCTGACCCTGACCTTGTCGGGCCAGATGGGAAGGACACCACTGAGGAGATGGAGCACAACATCCTGGTCAACTTTTTCAAGACCATGGGCTACTCCCAGGAAATCGTCGAGAAGGTCATCCGGGAGTATGGGCCGTCCACCGAGCCGCTGCTGCTCCTGGAGGAAATTGAAAAAGAAAATAAAAGGTTCCAAGAAGACAGACAGTCTCCATCGGGCACAGTGTCTCCAGAGACCAGCAGAGCCAGAGATAGAGGCTTTGGCAGCAGCACGAACGAGCTCACGACGGATTCGGCCCCAAAGAAAACACAGGCCCACGCGCAGCAGAGCGCGACGCACAGGGCTCCCCAGTCTCCACTCAGAGTCGAACTGAAACCGGGCACCTCCAACTGCAAAGTGAACGCTTTCAGAACAGCACCCGGGGACCCGAGACAAGACCCCTGGGGCTCGCATCAGAGCTCCCCGGGGCATGTGGACCTTGAAACGGATGGCCCTGCGCCCTCTGTTGCCCCTCTGAGTCCCAAAGAAGTCAGCTTTGTTTCGAGAGGCGTGCCAGGTCACCAGCCCAGAATTCCCGCTTTTCCTGAAAACGGTCTGCGGCCGCAGGGAGAGCCCTCGCTGCCCAGCCCTCTGAAGTCCACCCCCGAGGGCCGGCCCGGCCGCTGCGGCTCCCCTCAGTCCAAGGCCAGCTGTCAGCCTTTCTCCCCACCACTGCTTCGGCCCCCGCTGTCCCCCTCTGCTGCTGACGCAAGGCTGGCGGGGCCCTCCGATCACATTGACTGCTCGGTTACGGGCGTTCAGCGGTTCCGAGATACCCTGAAGGTGCCCTACAAGCTGGAGTTAAAAAATGAGCCAGGAAGGACAGATCTGAAGCACATCGTTATAGACGGGAGCAACGTCGCAATTACGTGAGTGCACTCTGCCAGTCCAGTGGTGGTCTCCAGTAGGGCCCAGGGCTGCGTCCCGGAATTGCACACATTTATAGGAACTGTGTGCCCGGTGTCTGCTTGGGTATGTGGCCTTGCCTGGGGGTGGGGGTGGGGGCGGGGCGAGGGGAACAGCTGGCTGGGAGAGCTCTGTGGTCCATCTTCTAGAGTTGCGCACCTCGCTCAACCCTGGGGAGCCCATGCTTCTGGGGGCCGGAGATGAAAGCAAGTTCGTCTTTCCACGTGGCGTTGCCTAGTTATGTGCAGTGTGGAGACTGGAAAATTGCTAGGTTCCTAATACCGTGAACGCCGTTAGGGTCAGGGCGCAAGGGTGAAGCTGAAGGCAGAAGGCACTTTCTGTCCTCGCTGGCGGCAGCCTGCAGGTGCCCAGCCGAGAGAGGGCCGGCGGTGATGGGCTCCGGCTCCCGTCCGCCGATAGCGCGCCGGCAGTCTGGTTCCCTAGGAGCTTGGTCAGTGCGCGCTCCTCTGCGGGCCTCTGCTCTCGCAGAAGAGATTCCTGTTTGCCTGTAGTGGAAACAGCTAAGTGATCACTTCTGTGTGGCCTGCCCTGCCCCTGCGGGGAGCCAGGTGTCTTCCGTGAGGGGCCGAGAAGAGGGCAGCAGCCCTCAGCCTGGGGCAGCTTGCTGCCGTCTCGCCTCTCCTCTCACCCTTGTCCTGAAGGACATGATCATCCCACCATCTCAGCCACTGGCTGGGGAGGGCTCCCTTCCAGTCCTCAAAGTCAGCCATTGCACCGACTTTGAAGAAGACCTGCATTTCAAGCGGGGGCGGAAGGAGAGGGGCTGCTGGAGTCTCTGAATTGCCGAGGGCTCTACGGCCTGTTTGCTGGGGGGCTGAGAGGGTCATTCACACCCTCCTCGAATAGGGCTGCACGGGGAGATTGCAGATAAGCTTTGCTTACTGAGATGTATGTGTTTAGGTATTTATTTGTTTTGTTATATTTTTGTCAGCGTTTTCAGATGACTACACAAGAAGATAGCACAGGGCACAGGGAACCCCGTGGCGAGCCGGTCACCCGGGCAGCTCAGTAGTTCAGTAGTTCTGGCCACAGCCGTCGGCAACCGCGGTCCAGCCGTCTCTCCCCTCCCCCACGGGCCGCCTTCTCCCCAGGCCATTGTCTCAGATATGTCACTTCATCTACAAAATAAAAGGGTTCTTTTGGGTTTTATTTTTTGAATGAATTATTGATGCTGTTCTTTGCTGAAAGGAAGAGCCAACATTTCACATTACATTTAGAAGAGAGGCAGTAAAAGTACACATGCTGTCTCCACTTCCAAGTGGTGCTGCTTTGTTGTCATTGCGCCTCATTTGTGGGTGGCTCCTGTGGGGGCCCAGCCTCCACATCAAGTGCAGGGGCAGTTGTGGTCGCCCCACCTGAGCCAGGCACCAAAGCCAAGCGATGTAACGTGTAGATCCTGATTGTGAGTGACCAGGACCCCCCTTCTTCATCTTCTGTGTGTGGGGAGACGTCCCAAATCTGCTCACGGAAGAAGAAATGCAGATTGACACCGAGTCAGTAGTGAAGATGGTGAAGGTGACCCTCTTCTTAAAGCTGTTTTGGAGCAGTCACTACCTCTTATCGGGGTGGCTGCTGGGCTTTGGGGCGGTCTGCACACTCGTCCTTTGGGGCCAGAGCGTCTCCCTCCCCTAGTCCGGGGACCGCCCCGCCCCATGAGGCCTGGCACCCTGGGGCGCAGCACCGTCCCGGACAGCCTCTGAACCGGTGCCGGGATGGCGGCCGAGAGCTGATTATTTTTCAAGGCTGTCCATTTTCTTTGAATTCACAGATGTTTAAGTTTAAAAGCGCCACTTTTACAAAGAAAACAGATTTGCAGTTTGATGTGGGTTGACTTGAGCATATCTGTAACTAAAATTAACTTACTCTGGAAAGAAGCTGCTCATTGGGCGTGGGGTCATCTTGCAGTGACGAATGTGATGGAACGAGGTGTGAGTGGTGCTTGTGCACACTCGTGAGCGCACTGCTGAGCTGCTCACTTCAGAGTCGAGCGTTTTGCCGTGTGTGCCTCACTCAAACTCTAAAAGTGGGAGAAATTAACCCTGACTCTAAGTTAGTGGTTTTGGTGGGAAGCCTGCCTTTCTGTCCCACCGTCCATTCCACGGAGCGTGGCCGCATCTGTGCAGAGTCCGCGCCGGCGCAGGGCGGGCACCTGGTGGGTCTCGGCTTGTTGAGCGAATGGAGTGGGAAGGAAGTTGTTGAAGATCAGGCTTTGTAAAATGACTTTTCACCACCCACTTGCAATTTGCAATTCCAGTTGCTATTTCAGTGATCATTTAGGTTAAACTGTAACTGAGGCTATATATTCAATTCAGGAAGTATTTGGAATCTTAAAGCTGAAACTCTCATGTGTGACATACTATACTTTTAAAACATAAGCCTCACAACAGTTTTGTGAGGTAAAGATCACCTGTAAGTTACATGCCATAAAACGGCCTAAAGACCTCATCCACGGAATGACACAGGGCGAGATGGGGGCCCGTGCCGTCCCTTCCCCCGCACAGCCCTCCACCCGCCCCTGGGACTCGGGTGGGGGCCCAGGCCTGGGCCCCCGGGCACAGAGCTGCGAGCGGCCTGAGCCCCACTGGGCCAGCTCCAGCATCTAACCCTGCCACTGGGGAAGTGGTTGAAACGGAAACTGGAGTCCTTAAGCAAGAGGTTCTCAGAGCCCCACCCCAGCGCGGCCCAGGCCCACCCACCCCAGCTTCCCCTCATCTCTTTGCCCGAGAGCTTGGGGCCTGCAGCTCGCACACGCGTGAGAAAGCCCAGAGCACCCTTGGGGCACTGCTGATCGTGTGGGTCTGGGCCGGGTTCTCCCCCTCATGCCGTGAGTGAGTGAGTCAGAGGCTAAGTGGCAGCTGCTTGCGGTGAGCAGCGGACTCGCAGGTGGCAGGAGGGCGCTTGCCTTGTCCAGGAGGGAGGAGGCGGTGTCCCACGGAGCCGAGGCGCCCCTTCTCGTGCAGGGACTGCGTGCCTCACCCATGTTCCCTGTGGGTCTTTCTGGGCCGAGTTCCAGGGCTGTTTATTGAACTGGGAGCTGTAGAAGGAAATTCCTCTTTCCTGGGTAATTCAGAAAGGGGTTTTGACTATTTCTCCACATGCCCTGTCTGGTTCTGTGACTGTCATCAGCTTTTGTCCGTTCTGTGTCATCTGTCACCCACCTTCTTTCCACTTCGCACACCCCTCCTTCTGGGTGACCGCCTGCTCTGGGGCGGGAAACAACCCTTAGGTGTGTGCTGTGCCCCCTGGCCGGGCGGCAGGGGCAGGACGCTGCCCGGCCTCTGGCCCGGTGCCCGGGTGTCTGTGGCCGGGCGTGTCGCTGTGGAGGTGCGCTCGGTCCCTGAGTCACAGTGGGGGCTGGCTGGGCCTCCCTGACCGCTACGGCAGGGGCTGGGGCAGGACGGACCCTCCTGAGTGTTGTGAGGACCGCGGTTCGGGTCCCCTCGATTTTCTTCCGTGGCTGTATTTTTGGGTAGATGTCTGTGTTCTCCACTAGAGGTTTTTCGGGGCGTCACCTCCAGGCCTGTCCTGGCTGTGTCGCCGTTAGAGTGATTTATCCCTTTAAAGGATTAAAAAGACACACCCCCTTCCCTCCACAAAAAGTACGGCCAGTTCATTTTCCTACAACAGATGTCACATTGCTACATTCTTGCCCTACTTTTGACGCCTCTGGGTGAGCAGACCGCTGGGCCTTCTCCCCAGGAGTGGGTGCGCTGCGCGGGGTCTGCGGCGTGCCCGCCCCTGTGAGGTCTCTCGTCCGGGGCTCACTGAGGCACAGCGGGCTCCAGCCTCAAAACGGTGTTTCCGAGGCGCACTTCTGGATGCTCGATGTTTGCCGCAAGTCCAGCCCACTCCTCCATGAGAACACAGATCCCTGGGGGCAGTCCCACTGTGGGGGCCCAGGAAGGGCCCTGGCCCCGGGGGGCGGGGGGCCGGGTCGGACGCCCGCTCACTCGCCCTCTGGCAGCGCAGCCTGGGCTCAGCTCTGTGCCTCCCAGGCTGTTACCTCCCGATTACCTGACGGCGGCCAGTGCACGGCCTCCCCAGGTTCCGTGTCTCGGGGGCACGGGGCAGGGAGGCATTTTGGGGGAGTCCTGAGCCCCTTGGAGGGAGGAGCAGGGCAGGTATGGGGGTCTGCTGCAGGTGAGTGGCCAGAGAAAAGGTGGGACACCCCCCCCCCGGCCCAGGTCAAGGTGTGGTGACACGCGGGGGCTGGTGGCCCAATCCCTTCTGACTAGTCAGGTGTGGGGGGCAAGCAGCCAGACACTGGACCTGTCTGAGACCTGGGGCCGCGTCTCAGGGCCAGTCCAACGGGAGCTGGGGCTGGGTGGGCCCCCAAGCTCTCGGGGCAGGGCTTCTGAGGGACGGACAGATCCACCCAGCTGGGGAGAGGAGCCAGGCCTGGAGGCGCAGGGCTTAATGTCCTCGGCACACAGGTGACCGCAGAGCAGGGGGGTGCGCTCTGCTGCTGTGGAGCTGGAGCAGCGCGGTTGGGGGGCGGTTCTTTCTCATCTCATGGGTCAGCAAACAGATTGCCCTGGCAAAACTTCAGACATTTCTTCAACCTTCACTTTTACTTAACTGCCAGAGAATAAAATGTAAATATTTTTTGTTTCTTTTCAATTTGTTACCAGACTTTGGGCAGAGGGCATTTTCTATTCCCTCCACCGGGGTAGTTCACCACCTCTCAGGGCGCACCTCGCCCTTCAGTGGCACTGGTCTGCTTCCTTGTCCCGCCGCCGGGGTCTGTCCTTCCACAGGGTGGCCTGCCGGGGCCCCAGCCCTTTCATCTCAGCCTCACCCCTGTGCTTGGGAAGCCCAGGAAGGGCGTGCAGCCCTCCATGGCAGGGCGCCCAGCCTCGTGGTGCTCAACAGCCACCTGGGCTTCAGTGACAGGTGTCCTAGTAGAATCCATGGAAGGTTCCGGAGTCCGGGGACCGGGCAGGGAGCTGTACAGTGGGCCTTCGTCTAAAAACCAGAAGTAAGGAGAGCAGGGAACAAGCAGCAGGCACCCTGAAGCTCAGAGTGGTCGGCGGGCACCCCGTCCGCCCCGCTTGAGCAGTCTCGTTGCCCCCGCAGCCACGGCCTGAAGAGGTTCTTCTCCTGCCGCGGGATCGCCATCGCGGTCGAGTACTTCTGGAAGCTCGGGAACAGGAACATCACCGTGTTCGTCCCGCAGTGGAGGACGAGGCGCGACCCCAACGTCACAGGTGAGGCGAGCTGACTGCCCTGGGTTTCCGAGTCGGGGTTTGGCGAGTGGGCCTGTAACTGCGGCACACGCCGTCTGTGGCACAAGCAGCAGCTCTGAAAATGACGTGGCAGGTGTGTCGCACCCGGTAAAAACCACCTCAGGGGTCGGCGGGAGGGACGCTCGGGCAGGGGGCACGGCCACCCCAGCCGCCTCCACGGGGAAGCACGTGGGAGAGTCACGCGGGAGGGCCCAGAGCTTTCCTGGGACCTCGTGCCCTTTATCCTTCATTAAACCGGGTTTCTGCTCTTGTTTTAGTGAATTTCCTAGGGTGACACTGCTTAAGTCTGTGGGTTTCACGTGTCCAGTTCCATAGTACATCAAGTCAGACTTCTCCCTTTTTTAAAAAAACATATTTTTTTCCATCATGCTTCTTTCAGTACATTTTTGAAAATGGTCACTTGATAAATTTGGAACCCACTGAAATAGAATGTCTTTTGAATGGACTGACTGTGGATCGTGAAATACCGAGTTGAGAGAAGCTCGAGGCGCGCTTGTCGCCCAGGCAGCCACCCCGAGAGGCCCTGAGTGCCCGGGGAGGAAGAGCGGATTGGGAGGCTGGAGAGGTCAGGACCTGCCACCACACTGACTGGGAAGTCCCACTCGGCCCCTGCTGCACGGGGGGCAGACGCCCATCCAGCAGGTGCTGGTGGGCGGGGCAGACCCGCGATCCGTAGTCACTTCTGCCAGTCAGCCCTGGGCGAGTCCGGCGGGCCCGGCGCCCCATGCGTGGCCGGGACAGTGAAGCCCTGTGTGGGCGCAGGCGCACAAACCCATGCTGAGCGCCCTTGTGACTCAGGCAGGTGCAGGGTCTCGGGCCCTGAGCGTTTGGCTGCTTTTTTGCCCGTGACTGGTCTTCAGGAATGTGGCTCTGGCCCCCCCTTTCCTTCTGTCAGGACACCCCCGTGAGAATCAGCCAGTGTTCGCACCAGCAACCGAGTGGCTGGGGCGGCAACCAGAGGGAGACTGTGACTAGCTCTTGGTGGGGACCCTGCAGAGCAGCAAGAGAGCGGGACTTCGGCTGTCACCCGCGTCCGATGTTGCTTGTCACATCGCTGCCCAGAAGTCCTCGATGGTAGGGCTCGTCACGTGTAGGTGTGTGGCTCATCTGGCTCGTTTAAGAAGCAAGTGGGCTGAACTTTTTATGTTCGAAAATCGCTTGTCCGTTTTTATGTTGCATTTGCCTCAGCACGTGTTGTGCCTGATTTTTCTCCAATGAGTTAGTGACATAGAGTCTGCCCGAGTCAGCAGAGACACAGGGTCCCCAGCGCTCTCCACGTGGAACAGTCGGGGTACGTTCGTTTACTTGAACAGCAGGAAGACAGTCCTTTTCTGAATGTATATCCAACTTGTTCCGTAAACAGAACAGCACTTCTTAACCCAGCTCCAGGAGCTTGGAATATTGTCTCTGACTCCCGCTCGGATGGTCTTTGGAGAGAGAATTGCTTCCCATGACGACAGGTATGAAGGCCGCTTTCCTTCCTGAGGTGGGCGGGGAGGGAGGAGCCAGCCGCCCGCTCCACGGGCCGTCGCCTGGACCGCCGTCCCGAAGGGGCTCCGGCACTCGGTGGGGGTGGGGAACGTGCGTGCGTCTGGTCCGTAGTGTTGCACATTGAATCATCTTCACTGTGTGGGGGCAGGAACCTTTGAAATGAGCTGTGAGAATTTGTTGGTCTTTTTAAGTAAAACACGACTGGGAATCCATGAGGAAATGCAGGTATTGAATTTACAGTCTTTTGGTGTGTGCTAGAAGTAACGTTTTTTGTCTCTGCTTTCTCGGTTCTCGAGCATTGCCCACCTCGAGGTTGTTCTTGCCTGAGCCCCCAGCGTCCCCTCCACGCAGTGGGAGGAGGTCTCGGCCGACGGGGGCGGGGCACTGGGACGCAGCTGCGTCTGCAGGCTGGTGTGTTGCTCAGAAAGCATGTGCCAGTGCAGCTTCTGGACCCTTTAGGTCTGTTTCTTAAAGCCTCGCCAAGGGCCGGGCAGGGCCCCTGGGACGCACAGTTCAGACACACTTCCTGTCCTGAGCAGCTTCCGACCTAGACCAGAGTCCAGACATGACGAGTGGCACGCAGACCAGTTCCCTGCCCTCTGGGGGGGGCCGAGCCAGCAAGAACAAGCCTGCAGTGTCCACAGAAACCCGAGTGGTGGCTGCCTGTCCCGCAGTCACCTCTCTGTGTGCCTGTGGCCTGTGCCACTTACAGCCCTGGCAGGTCTGCCTTGGTGCTCCCCCCCCCCCCCCCCGAGCACACCCCCACTGGGGACTGAGTTTAGCTTGGAACCCAAACTAGTGGATGGCAGTCGCGTGGGTGAGAAGGGGGCTTGGCGGGGCTGGGGGCTTGGAGAGGACTGCCCACATTTATCCAGCAGGGGCCCTGGGGGCTTCTCTCTACAGCCCCAGGCCTCCAGGCAGCACTGGAGGAAGCTGAGGGACCCGCAGGGGGGCCCTGGGGGCTCAGGTGGCAGGGCAGGCCTGGCCTGAGGGGCCTCGGGACCGCTCCCCCCCCTGCAGTGCAAGCCTCACGGCTGGCGGGGACCGGCCCTCAGACTGAGTCCTGGTTGCGGGGGCTCCCTGGGCCTGGAGCGGACAGGAGCGCAGGTCCTGCCCCGCGGTACGTGCACGCAGCGGCCGGGCCACTGTTCTCACTCCTCTGGGCGGACACGCCACTCACCACCCGTGCCAGTTAGAAGCAGCTCCTGAGTCTCACTGATAAGCCCAAGTGCTGAATCCCGTTTACTTTCCAAAGTTCACTCAGGTCTCTGAATCTCATGAGGCTTGTTTTCTTGTTCTTTAACCCCTTTATTTTACTTTTTAAAAGATATTATTTATTTATCTTTAGAGGGGAAGGGAAGGAGAGAGGGAGAGAAATATCAATGTGTGGTTGCCTCTCATGTGTCTCCCGCTGGGAACCAGCCTGCAGCCCAGGCGTGTGCCCTGACTGGGAGTCGGACCACAGTCCTTTGGTTTGCAGGCCGGTGCTCCATCCACTGAGCCGCACCAGCCGGGGCTGCATCTTTTCATAAGCTGGGTTTGAGTGAATCAGTAACTTGGAAGACAGAGTTGGCACTCTGCACGTGTTGTCTTCAGCCAGGGCAGAAGAGGGGGCCTGGGAGGGGGCCTGCGGGGCTGGCGGCCACGCAGCCGGTCTCAGCGCCAGCCCCACTGTGCTCGGGCCCCCGCGTCCTCTCCGCACCCCCGCTGACTGGCCAGACGCGGTTTCTGGAAGACGTGCCAATGCGGTGTGAGAGCCGGGTCTCCGTTCATAACTGCGCTGGCAATTTCAGAGGTTTCCGTGTTTCCGGCTGGCCTGCAGCTGACGGCCTGACCGGCCTGGTGCCCGTGGCTGAGCGCCCCGGTGCTCCTGTGAGGAGGGCCCCGTGTTTCCATGCTGTGCGGTCGCCTGCCCGCGGTCACCTCTCTCCTGTCTCCGCAGGTTTCTGCTGCACTTGGCGGACAAGACCGGTGGTATCATTGTAACGAATGACAACTTCAGAGAGTTCGTGACTGAGTCCATCTCTTGGAGGGAAATCATCACTAGAAGGTAGTTGTTTCTCCTTCATCCTTGCTGGGATGGTTTCGCTGTCTGCCCGGGGTGTGTTTGCGTTGTGTTCGTTCTGGGCTCCCCTTGGCCCTGCAGAGAGTAAGATGGGGACACCGAGTGTCCAACCCCGCAGGATGTCCAGTCCCTCTGGCTAAGTAGCAGGACCCGGCACCCAGCAGCAGAGCCAGCGGGTGCAGGGTGGACGCTATGGCACCGCAGGATGCCTGCCCTGGGGCCAGTGGCCCTGTCAGGAGGGAGGACACACCCTGTGTGTTTGCGCCATCAACTCTGCTGGCTGCGGACGCAGCAGGAATGGCCTCCAGGGAGACCTGCTAAGGGAGGCTTCAGCGGGCCCCCGGACCCCCACACTTGACTCAGCCATGAGTAGGCTGGGTTCCCAGGTCCAACTCTAGTGTGGGGGTGTGCGGGGGTCCCCCCCACATCAGCACAGTCTCAGACACCATGCTGGTGTCTGAGAATTCAACCCCGTTGAGATGCCGTCCCCCCGGAGAGAGCATTGGACCCACAGCTAGGGTTTCCCCTCACTCCCCACCACACACACCTTCGGGCCCGTCGCCAGCCCGGCTTCGCCCCAGCCAGGTGCCCAGGCCTCTGCAGCTCAGAATGCCAACTGCAGGTCCGCACTGTCATCTGCACTGCTGACCAGCTGTGGGGGGTCCCCACAGCCCCTCCGTGGGATGGCCCGTGAACCTCAGGTTTTATTTACTTATTTTGGGGGGGGGGAGAAAGAGGGAGTAAAACATCAACTGGTTGCCTCTCAAGTGCCCCCCCCCCCCCCCCACAAAGGACCTGGGCCACAACCCAGTCACATCCCTGACTGGGAATTGAACCAGTGACCTTTTGGTTCATAGGCCGACACTCAGTCCACTGAGCCACACCAGCCAGGGCATCAGATTGCCTGTTTATTGCAAAAGCACGTGACTCAGGAACAGCCAGGGGAAGCGATGCACATGCGGAAGGGCTTCCAGGCCCCCTCGGAGCACCCCACTGTCACTGTGCCCTCCCGTGGTCCCCAGTCCCAGAAGCTCTGGGAACACCACCCCCTTGGGGTCTGTGGGGACTCCATGAGCAGGTTGACTGATTGAACCTCAGGCCCTGCCCCCCCCCACCTTCGGCGCTTCCCGAAAGTCACCTCATCACCATTACAAAGCGCCCTCTCGCACTCCACACCTGGGGCGGCTGGAGGGTGTCCGAGCTGTGAGCCAGGACTCAGGCGTGAAGGCCACAGCTCTGTGAGAGCTGTGTTTTGGCACCTGACTGATCAACATGCGAGCTTCTTGAAGCCACAGTATCCTGTGGGGGTTTAATAACGACTGGGATGCTATGCAGACGGGGCCTCCCCCCGTCCGCCGCCCCCCCCACTCCCCGCAGGGACGGCAAGTGCTGCCGCTGTTTATCACCCGGTGCTTCCTCGGGCACTTCATCCTCAGGTTGACCCTCCACACTGAGGACGCGCTGAACGCCACCTGAGGCACAGTCGGGGCTGAGCACGCGCGGCCCCGAGTCTGTTATTGGTGGTGATGCCCTGGACGTTCCTAGCTACCTAAGGGTCCAGGCGTTCAGGCCTCCAGGACGTAGGTCCAGATGACCAGTGACTGATGAGCAAACTCGAGGTCTGCCGCGTGCAGGGGTGAGCATGCGTGTTGGCCTTGAGAGTGTGAGTGAGCGTGCCGCCAGCTGTGGGCTAGCCTGCACGCCTAGGTGGTCGCCCAGTGGGTCCCACAGTTGCCCCGTGTCTGATATTTATGTCTTGCTAATCACAAGGGGATTATACAAAAAGGACATTTTGCTCTCAGTGCCCAGGTAAGAGTTAAGTACTGGATGCATTTTCACCCCTGCGTTGTTAAAAAGCCCTTGGTCTCTGACCTCTGGGCACAGCTAACAAGCCAGTAGTCCTCCAGGACTTGTTTCTGTTGGGTCTCTGCTCCGGGTTCGCTGCCAGCGCTTCCCGGACCCTGGTCTGTGTGCTCACACGCATCTACGCACATGCACTCGTCTGTGTGCGCACATGCAGGTTTGAGTGCGTTGAGACCCCTTCGCACACCGAGCGCTTGCTCTCCGAACCCCCCAGAGGAGGCAGAAATCCGGATGTGCACGACACACACGCACTTGGACTTTTGTTTTCTTACTTTTTTCCAGACTTGATAAATTACACTCAACTGACCTGAGGTTCTGTTTCTTCAGGTGTCACGCTGTCTTCATTTTTTTAAAGGTGACTGTCTTGCATGGGTTTGCCAACGGATACGTTAAAAAACTTTCGTGGCCAAAAGCTGTTCTGAAAGAAAGGGCTTCTTGCGCCTCTGCTCACCACAGAGGGACCCGGGCCAGCTGCATGGAGTCTGAACTACCAGCCACAGGGCTGCGGGGAGAGGACGGCAGCCCGCTGCCCTGGGGTTGGGGCGCTGTTACATGTTACGTTTGGGGAAGGAAGACGTGAGCTGCTGGGAAAGAATGCACACTGGAAGGGGGGCCGAGCTGGTGAGGAGCAGACAGGACTGCTTTGATCAGTGGCGTCTGGCGTCTGGCCATCAGAGCCCCCATCCCAGTCGGGGGTGCGCGCTGGCCCAGTGGCTGTCCCGAGGCTACCGGCCGACTCCCTGCCTCTCTCTCACCACCGGCGGTAACTCCCTGTTGGCTGTCCCAGGGCGGTTTTCAGCCCTGGGACACGTCTGTCCCCAGTCGGGCCCTGTGCTGCGTTCTTCATGTCCTGAGCTGTGGGGCTTGCTTCTTCAAGTGGTGCCGGAAGTCACGCGGACAGGCCTCTCACTCTCCTGGGCGTCTGAGAGGTTGAAAGGGTGGGACGTGGGTGTGCTTCTGCCCGTGGCAGTTAAGCAGCCCTCTGGCGTGGTAGGTACCTGTCACTTGGGATGCTGATGGCCCGCGTGCCCAGTGGGCGGCGGTCGGAGCTCGGCGTCCCCCCAGCCCTGCCGTCCTCTGTTGCAGGCTGCTCCAGTACACCTTCGTGGGGGACATCTTCATGGTCCCCGACGACCCCCTGGGAAGAAGCGGGCCGCGGCTGGAAGACTTTCTCCGGAAGGAAGTGCCCCTCAGGTAGCGGCCTTTCCCGGGTGCTGTGTGCGGACCCGGTTCTCTCTGTTCTCTGTGCTTTTCTTGTGTGGGCACTGTCTCTGGGGACTAGAAACGGCGTTTCATTTTTTAAAAAATAGTCTTAGATATTTAGTGCTGGTGCCGTGTACGTGGAGATTAATCAAGCAGGCACCCTCAAAGGACCACCTTCCTTTGTGGTCCTTTCGATTTTGATCTTGGTTCTAACCCTAGGAGGGTGGGGGCCAGGCCTTCCCTGTGGGTCTGAGAAGACGAAGCAGGTTTGGCTGACGGTCACTTGTTAGCGAGGCCACTGGGACTCATTGTGTGCGCCTGGGTGTCTCCCCGTGTTCACACGCACAGCCCTTCGCCATGAACCACCACCTGAGGGGCCACCGTGACTCCCTGCCCCTCTGAATGGAGAAGCCAGTATTCTGCATATTTCTGAAACTGATTTGAAACTTTCCAGTTTCTTTGTTGTGGTTTGGGTTTGTTGTATGGATTTTTTGTTTTGTGTTTGACTCAGTGCTAGTGTCGTTCTCTCCCCAGGGTGCTCGGGCGATGGGCCTCGCTCCCGGCGGCGCTCCCTCTGCCTGACCGGTGGGCCCCGTAACCCAGCACCAGACCTGTCTGTAGAAGCGGAACCGGCCGCCCTTCGGGTGTTTGCCAGCCGCGCCCCCGGCTTGCAGGGCAGGAGCACCTGTCGGGGGGCGTTGCCATTCGCAGGGCAAGACCCTTTCTGGGTTCTCGGCTTGCACTGGGGCCCAGGGCTGTCACGGGGAAGAGACCAGTGCAGCTCCACCTTCCTGGTCTTGTTGGCCATCTCCCTTTGGAGTTTTGGGGTTTTCTTATGTGGACGAGGCGTGGTGCCCAAACGCCCTGCTTCTCTCCCCGCACAGAGAGAGCGCAGCCGTTCCCAACCCACTGGACACCAGTGCCCTCTTCTCTTCCCAACGTCCCACCTTGAAAACCGCTGCAGAGATTTGAGGCCCAGGGCCTGTGGGGCCTCAGGCTCGTGGGTCAGAGCTAATGGAGGGCGTGCTCTCTGGTTCCTGCCCCAACCCAGGCATTCTGGTGGCGTGGCCAGCCCTGCTGCTCACCTAATGGCTCTTGACAGAGCTGTCATGAGTCCATTAGGAAGGTCAGCACATGCCCATGTGCGTGCAGGGTGTGGGCGCTGACACCTCGTCCGGAGCTCGGAGAGGGAGCAGCCCCCGGATGGGTGGCCCCTGCCCACAGGGTCCCTTTCTGTGAGGCCTGTCCAGCCAGGCTTCGTACAGAATCAGAGTCTCCAAGAGCCCCGGCACCCCTGCCTGTCTGGAGCACCCCGGTGCTGCTGGCACGCCAGGGTGCACAGCAGACCATGGCTGGGGTGGCTCCTGAGGAGCTGCCGCTGCCTGTGCGGCTCCTCGGAAGGACCTGCCAGCCCTTAGACATTCAGGGGGGCGGCACGAGGGTCTCCCGTGGATCTACAGCCCCACTCACCGGACTCCCTTCTGTTCACAGAGACATGCAGCCCCTGCTCAGCGCCCTGCCGAACGTGGGCATGTTTGACCCCAGCTTCAGAGGCCCGGGTGCCCCGGCAGCTGGCACCAGCCACCAGCCTCCGGCAAGGGGTCAGGGCGCCCCGCCCAGCCACTGGCTTCCTCAGCAGCCCCGCTTCCCCCTCCTGCCCGGCCTCCCGCAGAGCCTGCCCATGCCGGCCCAGAGGTCCTCGGCCGAGACCAGCGAGCTGCGCGAGGCCCTGCTCAAGATCTTCCCGGACTCGGAGCAGCGGCTGAAGATCGACCAGATCCTGGTGGCCCACCCGTACATGAAAGACCTGAACGCGCTCTCGGCCATGGTGCTGGACTGAGGGCCGGCGCGGGGCCGGGCCGCGTCTGGGGGCGGCAGGGCTAGCAATGTGAAGAACCAGCTCCCGGTGGGGTTGCTGTCGTCGTGTACAGGAGAAAACAGGTGTTCCGTGCAAAACCCTGGGTTTTCAAAGCCAGCTTTTTTCTATATATAAATTATGCTGCTATTACAGATTTAACATTTTCTGTAAAAGGAAAGTCTACATTTTCTGCCTGTTCAGAACTGTTTAATAGCAGTTACTCTTGAGTGTATTGACATTTTTATGTTTTTTAAACTATTTTCCTTAAAGCTGAAAATATTGACAAATGGATATAATTAGCCTTTTTAAATAAAAAAAAAAATAAGACGACCTGCTTTCTTAGGGAAAGCAGGACCTCTTAAAGTATATTTTCTTGCGATGACTATGTCCCGCCCACTAACAGGAAGTATGGGCGTCCCCTCCCCCGCCCTCCCCCAGAATCAGTCAGTTGGTTTTGCTCCCGTGGGGTCCTTCACCCGAGCGGTTGGTGAGTGTGGCCTGGGTGCCACTAGATGGCACCTCATGCCCAGTTGTGGGGCACGGTGGGAGGAGCACCGCCCCTCTCCCCCGCCACCCGCACGGGGGTGGGGCCTCTGTGATCCCGCCCAGCGCTGTGGCCCAATGGCCGGACTGGGTGTGCTCCCCTGACCTGACTCTAGAAGTCGGCTCAGCCTCCGAAGGTGACAGTGGGCAGCAAGGAGGTTGAGTCAACGCCCCATTGTCACGGTCATGGTGTGTCCACAGCCATGGGAGACAGCCCATGGGAACTTCGTGCAGCTTTGCCAAAAAACGGTTTTCTATTTCCAAAATGACCCCAGCCAGTAAATAGCTTTAGTAGCTTCCACGGGGGCTGACCCCCGTGTCCGTCTCTGGTGTCCTCGTGCGCGACCCCTTCTGTGAGCCCCTCGGCACTGCTGTGTCTCAGCGTCCTGTTCTCGGTGTTGCCCAGACTCTGTGCCTTGAAGTTCTGGGCAGGCTGTTCCAAGCATCCTCACTCCTCTCTGGACCTTCAAAGGGCTTTGTACTTTATACCTGTCCTCTCGCCAGGCTGCTCACAGTCCCTGTCGTGCCCACTCTGTGGACCAGAGCTCTCCCAGCCCCAGCAACCGCCACCGCAGGCCGGTTCCCCCCCCCCCCCCCCGCCCCCAGGCCTCCCCAGGCCCTCCCTCCAGGTGGCTAGATTTTTACTTCCAGTGACAGCTTTTGCTTCGGGGCAGGTGCCCAAGTTGCCCAGCCATAGGCTAGGAGGTAGAGGACCCGAGGTGGGCCAGGAAGGGGCTTCAGGTGGGCACAGCTGCCATGGGAGGTCTGGGGCTGTCCTGTTGTGACTCTGACCTTCAGGGTCAAGGTTTGGTCTGGCAGCTCTGTTGATCCAGAACTTCTGTTCCAGAGAAGGACTCCGGCAGCGGCCCCAGTTGCCAAGGCACACCGCCTGCAAGGGGGCTGGGCGGGCCCTGACCTTTGACCTTGGAGCTGTGCAGTGTTTGTGAGCCCCTTCCTGTGGGAAGGTAGGGTACAGGTGACTAAGCGGGAGGAGTACCTGATAAAAGGAATTAATTAAAAGCATTAATTCCTTTTCTTGATAAATCATAACAGGAAACGTGTTTCACAGGACTTTCCGAAGTTAATCAAGTTTAGCTCAGTTTACTACTTAAAACCTCAGTTTCAGCTCCTTTTGTTCTTGGCCTCCTCTTGACGCTCATTGAGCTCACGATTGTTTCTCGGTGGCGGTGGCGCACCTACCTCGGTCCGTCCCGGCCCCCGACCCCGTAGGCTCCTGCGTGCAGTGGCGCTGCGGTCTGCTGGTCACAGCCACTGTTCTCCGGCCAACACCGTCCACTGCTTGGGTCCGAGAGTGAGCCGGTGCTGGTGCTCACCTTCGCCCCAGGCCCCAGGCCTCTCCTCTGGGAGATGGGCCAACCTTTGTCAGCCTGGGTCCGAGACCCTGGGGGCCGTCAGCTAGAACAGTGAGGAGGCCCCTGGGCGGTCCTGGGTGGCTGCTCACTGTTCTCCGGCCAGCTCGCCTGTGTCCTGGCTGTGCCGCTGGGGACCGGCCGTGCAGCCCTCGGGGTTTGTGAGCGGAGGGGGGGGGGTCTGTCCCGCCCAGGCTGCGGCCTCAGCACAGTCCCGTCTGCACCTGGAAACCCAGGCACCCCCCGGGTCCCAGCCTGCCTCCCCACACCCCGAGATAGGCCTGCCCCTGGGCGGCCCTTCCCCCGCGGGTCCACGGCCTCGCCGTCTTGCCTCCTTTCCGGTCTCACTCCTGTTACCTCCCGGCCAGTTCGCTCAGTTGCTCTGACTCTCGCTGCTTCACCTGCTGCTGCCTCGTTCTCCGCGTGTTTCAGACCTTTTAGAGTGGAGTCGGGTAACCTGGCTTCCTCTGAGCACCGTCTTTGTTCACTGCCACTTCCCCCCCCTCCTCGCCCCGGGCCTCGTTCCTCGGTGTGCAGGTTGGCCGCCCACCGGCAGCAGCTGCCACCTGCATCCTCTGCCCGTCCTCAGTGTCCACGCTCAGTGACCACACACTTGACACCACTGACCTTCCTCTCCACGTGACCTGCGGTTCCCTCCGACCACTTCCTTCCTTTACCTCCTCTGACCCGAAGGCCAGTCCGTAATACCTTTCTCCTCCTTAGCAGGCGCTCAAACTCGGGACCGGCTGTGAGTCGTGGGGGCAGGCGGCTCTCCCTGACCCTGCAGACCTCCGGGCACTGCAGATGTTTACTCAGTGGCTCCAGAGGGAAGCTGGAGTCCCACCACTTCTGCAGCCTCCCCGGGCGATGCCTGTGCAGGTGGTTCATGGGCCACGTTTTGAAAAACCGGAGCCCTGGGACATCCTAGGCTCGCTTGCAGATCCTCTGCCCACCTCTGCCTTGCTCTTCTTCCCCACCTACCCGGCCCCGGGTCCCCTCGTCACCCCTGCCCTCCTCCCAGACTCCACAGCACTGCTCGGTTTACCTTCCAGAAACCCCTTCCTCCCGGTCAGTGGTCTTCAGTGGCCTGAGACCAGAGCACCTTGTTCAGGCACCCGAGCTCGGTCTCCTGGGCCTCTCACTCGGAGCCAGACTTGTCCACCCACCTTGCACACTTCCCCACACGCTCACCGCAGCCACACACGCGTGCTCAGTTACCTGCGGGCTCCTGGCCCCTGCGTTCCCCTCCTCTTTGCTAGCGACGCCCCCTCTGCGGCCCTCTGTGTGCAGGAATCTGCAGCGCCTACCCCGCTCCCCGCGCCTGCCGCTCGGCGTCTGCAGCTGATTGTACTGCCTCTTGCCTCCTTCTCTAGACTGTGAGCTCCTCGCGGGCAGGGACGCCTGTGTTCATTCTTTGTGTTTCCACGGCACCTAGTGCCTTGCACCGAGGTGCTCAATAAACATTGCTCCATTCACTTGGGGGACGGTGCCTTTTTGAGAGCGTCTGGCAAGCCCAGGGGACCCCTCAGGACTACACTGTCAGCAGCTGCGCCCATCTGCCCGTTGCTCCGCTGTGGTGGGCCATGGGCAGGTGCCTGCCTGCCTGCCTGCCTCCCTCTTCCCTTCTCCAAGGCTCCAGCACGTGTCTGGCCGGGGGTGGGCACCCAGGCTGGCCAGGGGCAGACAGCTGTCCTGATGAAGGCCAGGCAGAGCTGCTCTTGCAGTGGGAGCTGGGGGCTGTCACACCCTCGTCCCCGTGGCCGTGGAAGCCTGGTGCACCGGAGCCTTGCTCAGCTGTCCAGATGCCTCGCTCTGATACACTCCCCTTCCTCCTCACCCTGGTTCAGGTGGAGTGTGCGGCCCCTTGGAATCAGAGGTTGAGGGAGACCTGTGTCCTTGCCCTCAACTGGGCAGAGAAATCCTAGGGCTGGTGGTATGTGTAGAAAGACCCCAGGGATGTGTGGCGACAGGACTTGGGGATGTCCGCCCCGGGCAGGGAATGGTGTAAGCCCCCACCGCTCCTAAGGAACTAACTTCCCGGGGCGCTCCAGCCCGCCCTCCAGCTGGCCACCTCCTGCCACTACCCATCCTGTGTGTCCCCGCTTCTGCTGCACGTTGTGTCTCTGAGACTCCCTGGTGTGACTGTTGGCGTAGTCCCCACGCTGGGCGAGACCAGGCCTGCCCGTGTGCACTTACCCTTCCCACCCTTCCATGTCCCGGACCGTGGGAGGGGCAGGGTGCAAAGGCGCCTGCTGCCCCGGGTGTGGTGTGTTCACGCAGGCAGACTGTCACACTGTCACTGGTCATGGGCCCTCCCATGTCCCTCCTGACCAGTCTCCAAACGGCCAGATTCTGGACGCAGCCCTCTGTCCCTGCCGACACCCCAGGAGCCTCAGCAGGGCCAGGGAAGGCCAGGCAGCATGGAAGGCATTGCCATGCGCACGAAGGCTGGTCCCAGCCACCCTGCACTCACAGGCCCCCGAGGTCCCCCCTGGGAGAGGAGCAGAGCCTCAGGGCTCCAAGACCACGCCTCACACAGCCGGGGTGTCCAGGACTCAGGTGTTGACTTCCAAAGGCTGGGCCACCTCGCCAAGAGGCGCGCTGCCCCAAGGTGACTTGGCAGACAGAACGGCGCCTAAGATGACCTCCTGCCCTGACCCACGAGCAGAACCGAGGCCCATACCTGGTCAAGGATGTCAGCCCGCTGGGCAGAAAGCTGCTGCCGCCCAGCTCCCCACCCTCCTGCACTGTCCAGGGGCCCACGTCCAGCCCTGTTGCTGGGGCAGGGGCAAGGGCACGTTTTTAAAAGGAGAAAGTGGGGCCCTGGCCAGGTGGCTCACACGGCTGGAGCGCTGTCCCGATACACCACGGGTGTGGGTCCAATCCCCCGTCGGGGCACACGCAAGAAGCAACCAGTGGACACTTAAATAAGTGGAACAACAAATCGGCACTTCTCTCTCTCAAACCGCCAAATAAAAGTTTTTAGAAGGAGAGAGTGGACCGGCCCGCAGCACTGGTGCCAGTTGCTGGGGAGACTGAGTCTGGGCGAACTGGGATCTGCCCCGAAACGGCGGTAGTGTCCACGGACGGAGCCGGAGCTGGACGCTGGGGACCTCAGGGCTCAGTGGCTCGGCCCTCCCGCAGGATGCCCGGCCATAGGCTGGGGCCTCTGGGGCTTTCCTTCCCACCCACCCTGCCCCCCCCAGGTCCCCAGGGAGCCAGCCTTCCAGGCTGCAGCCTGAAACC